GAGAAATTTAAAAAAGATATTCAAAAACATTAAATGGCTGGAAAACATTTAAGTAAATTAAATATTTTTACATCGAATGCCCTCTGAGAGTGGATTTGAGAAATTTGATTTTCCCTGCCAAAACTGGAAAGATATATGACAAAGCAGGTTTAGGCGAGGCATTTTTCTTCTGTAAAGTCAGTGATTGAAAATCATGCCACTGAAAATTGTCTGTATAATTTGATGATAATGTCTATGCTGCAGTTATTCGTGGCTGGTTGGTTAGAAGATGCTCTGGAGATATAGGGTTACTGACATCTGGGGGCTCCAAGGTACAGTGACCATCTTATTGTGTTTAACTCTTTAACAAATTTTACTTATGGTTCAATCTTTCATGTAATTCTGTGTTAATGTTTAACAAATAGCATTCCCCTATTGCTTTATTTGGGGAATGATGTTAAACATTCATTTTCTTTTGCACTGATACATGTTCGATCAGTACTTTGTAGTTTATTATGATGCTGGATGGGCTTTTGATCACCAACACTTCTAAATTTGGCTTTGAATTTCTGTCTCCTTGCTATAGACCTAGTAGTCACTCACACTGCTCTAAAAATATATGTCCAATCTTGGTAAGAAATATCATAAAAAATGTTCATCCCAATTTTTTGCATATCAATGGTCTATGATGCCTATTTTTGTTTTTATTGTTATGCAGAGTCTAAAGCTCCAGTATTTCTCTGATTGTAATTCTAATTCAGTCCCTATAAGTTGTGAATGATTGCTTTTAATCAGTTGCAACTTTTGCTTAGAAGATATGTGCATTTATCCATACTATATTATTTGCATTTGAGACACTAAATGATTATAAATTCTGATACAGGCAAATGAATCAGATGAGGTGCTTGTCAAGTCATCATTTCTGGCTGAACTACAGCGGCGAGTTCTTAAAGCTGAGGCTGCTCTGAGGGAGAAGGAAGAGGAAAATGACATCCTCCACCAACGGATCCAACAATACGAAAGCCGTTGGTCCGAGTATGAGCTAAAGATGAAGTCCATGGAAGAGGTGTGGCAGAAACAAATGAGGTCACTCCAATCCAGCCTCTCCATTGCAAAGAAGAGCCTAGCAGTTGATGAGTCAGAGAGAAATTCAGATGCATCAGTTAATGCAAGTGATGATAGAGAGTATAGCTGGGATACAGGAAGTAACCACAAGGGCCCTGAGAGCAACGGGTTGAGACCAATGAGTGCAGGGTTGAGTGTTATAAGCCGGTTGGCGGAGGAATTTGAGCAGAGGAGTCAAGTTTTTGGTGATGATGCCAAGTTCTTGGTGGAGGTGAAATCAGGTCAGGTTGAAGCAAGCCTGAACCCGGATCGTGAGCTTAGAAGGTTGAAGCAGATGTTTGAAACATGGAAGAAGGATTATGCTTCAAGATTACGAGAGACAAAAGTGATACTGAATAAACTGGGGAATGAAGAAGGTGCACTTGAGAGGGTGAAAAAGAAGTGGTGGGGCAGGAGGAACAGCTCAAGGTATAGCTAAATTTAGATTATTATTCTTATTATTATTATTCTTTCTAGTTGGTTTATAGTTGGGGTGTTGCTGTTGGCCGCATTTTCTATTGGCAACCAAGAATTGTTGCATAGAGAGAAATTGTGAGAGTTTTGTTGTTACTGAAGAGGCAAAGTAAATTCTGGTGCATATCCCAAAATTTAAATATGTATATTATTTTCTTACTAAGATGCTAATCTTATGTCCACAAAGTTGGAGCTTTGTTTGTGGCTGTGAAATGCCCTGATATACCCACAGTTTTATTTGGTCAGCATCTCCATTTCATTTTGCTTTCATGCTTCTTTCTCGTGGAACCCCACTGTAATATTCGATGGAAAGCAATCAAGGATAGAGGGATTCTTGCAGTCTGCTGCCCTTACCCCAACTTTTATCCATTTTCTAAACTATTTTTGAGTCCAGCAATAAAATGGAAATGACGAATTAAGTTGTTGAATTATTCACTAAAATATAAATAAAATTTTTACTTTTTATTTTAAATTAATTAAAATATCACTTATTATTTTATATGAATTGTGTTTTTATGATAATGATAATGTAATATATTAATGTATGATGATTTTTTTATTATGAAAAATAAAATTTTTTTGTTTAATCATTTGAGGGAAATGGATTCCCATCACGTTGTTTATCAACAAGTCTCAAGCTCCAGTCAAAGGACTATCAAATATGATGAATTTCTCGTCTATAGATTAGCCATGAAGTTAGCCAAAACTTTTCCTTGTATGAAAACAAGATGAATATGGATTTCTCATTCACGATGAAGAAGAAATTGAATAGCTTGAATTAAGTCAGAATTAGAACATGGATGAAGTAATGGCCTATACCACAAGTTTATTGTCAACTTGAAGATTGATCCTTCAATGACCCAAGTCTCGAGCTAGACATATGTTCTTGATATGCTCCCCAAAGTTCTGCACGGTTTGGTGTACACTTTCCAAATCGGAATGCGAATCCTCCTTGTCATTCTCTTGTAGAGTTTCGAAGAAACTTCACCAGCAACTAAGGAGGAGCAAAATTCGATTAAGTTAATTTAATTAATTTAGTTAAATCAATTAAAAGACTCAGTTAAGTTGATTTGGTCAAAAATTTTTGAAATCGATTAACTGAATTAATTGATTTTGAAATTAATATATTATAAGATTATTTATTGCATGTATGTACTCACACAATCCTTATATATATATATATATAAACTTAAGTTATTAAAATATACTAATTAGTCCATAACAATATACTATTATATAGTGTATATATATATTTTATGACTTCTTAGTATACTTATATGCTATATAAGTACATATTAACTATATACAGTAATATATTAACACACTATATATAATATTTATCAATACAATATACATATATACTTAAGGAACAACAATAGATAACTTAGGCATAATCAAAGTCTTTGATATGGGCAACACAAGTAAAGTATATTTCTCTATCAAAAAATATTTTGAAATTTCAGAGTAAGTACTGGAAAGAAAAGAAATATAATTAATGTTAATCTTCAGAAAAATAATACACTTAGTGACTAAGAGAATATTAAGTCATTTCCAATCCTCCAATCAGTTTAGTTTTTAAAACAGTAAACAGATCTTGACTAAGACAGGGCTTTCTATTTAGCTAAATTTCTCTCATCTAAAACATTAACAGATATTTTAAGTTCAAAGTTTTGATTTTTCATACTTTCGTTTATTTCTGCAACACATAAACACAACATTAGAACAATTAATCACATTAGCTGAATTAATCTCCACGAGGAAATGCTTATATCATTGGCGCTTGCAGTAGGAAAGGAAACACATGAGAACACAATCGGTTCCTTTGCCTATAGGGTATATTCTAAATCATTATAGGAAAGTCAGAGACAAACCAGATTACTAATGGGCTAGCATTTAGCAGAGCTTTTGTTCTCTATTCCTTGAACAATGAAAGATCATAAAACCCAAAAAGATTCGTAACTTCATGTTATTCTAATGCATTTTCTCACAACTGGACAATAAAGGACAAAGGGAACCTTCATTAGACTCAATTAAACAAAGGTCCTTTTCATTTTAACCTACACCATAGATCATGAACAAAACAAAAATAGAATAGTTGCTGTTGAATAAATAACAAATAAAGAAACGAAGAATGCCTAGATTTGATTTTAATAAGAAGAACAATAAGAAACTCGCATATATAAGCCAAGTGAAAAACATGTTACTATAGATAATGGGGAAACAAATGCCATACATTGACGGATAAAGGATAAAAAACCCAAACAATTTCCAATGGAGACCTCATTAAAATTTTTCTTGGAGTAGTTATAGTTACATAATAATACCAAAAGGATTTCTTTTACCATTTTAGTATTTCAGTTGCGGCACAATCCTCCTGCCCCCATGGTAAACCTGTCTCTGCAACACCTCTAAAGTATCCTGCCTCGTAACCTACTTGCTCAATATCATAATGGAACACATTATTGGATAATAAAAACCATTAACAAATTATAACTTGCTCAAGACTTTTCAATGTTATCCATCAACATCTGAGTCCAAATATGAGAAGAGAAAATGCAAAAGCCCATTTATCGTACAAGAATCCAAGCATGATTGTGATTGGTTCAGATTAAAGGATTTAAAACTCAATAAGAAGTTAATAAGGAATAGCCACCTCCGCTCCCAAACTCTAAATGGCTATTTGGATAATAAATTAGTAGTTTTCCACGATTGAAATGGTAGATTTCCAAGTACTATGCAGTAGCTAACAGGTTCACATTTATGTATCAATCATCTCTCTTAATTTGAAAGAATTATTAATGAATAGCAACAGTTTGCAGATATATTGAATAGAGGGAGGGGTTACCACATCCAATATCCACCATAAGCGGCACTGTTGGATCCCTGAAGACTTCACTCCAAAAGGGAAGAGTCTGAAGGCACTCCCTGGTGAGAGAATGGTCAGTCGACAGATTGATCGAGAAGGACACTAATGTTGAGAAAACATGGAGACCCAAAACGAACAAAAGAGAAACAAATCCAAGCAGTTGATGACAGAGAGAACAAAAATGAAAAACTTAAAAGCTCAAAATTATCCCATCAGCCAGATGAAAAACTCGAAAATAGAGCTCGTCGGTGAAAGAATGTTTAGTCAGTGAACTGATCGAGAAGGACGCCACTACTGAGAAAACATGCAGTTCACTTCATGCATGCATGCAGACTTTAGCGTCTTTTCTATCTTTAGTTCCTTTTGAATAATCACAGCATAGATGGGCTGCAATCATTGCTCCACATCATCCCTGAGTTTAATGTATCCTAAAATCTATACCCAAACGAATAAAAGCCCAAAATGAAGGCCCAACCCCCATGCTGGCGTGGTTTTCCAAATTGACGGGACCACATGTAATTCTGGGGTCCACAAAGCTCTTTTAGCGCTGACGTGGTTCACATGGAGGCCCCAAAACCGTTAATGGTGTAAAGGGGCGCAAAGCCGCAAACCCTAGCTCCTGCTCCTCAGCTGCTGCTGCTACCACCATGTAGATGTAGATGTACAGGAAGAAAGAGCAGTGAGCAGAAACACCCCTTTTTTGTTTTTTATGAAATAAGATATTGAAATCCGAAAGGCAAAACTTTTGACAAATTGAAACTCCCATTTCTGGTTTTAGCAAATTGATACTTGAACATAGTTGATAATGTTGGCCAGTGGCGGCTCTCGCATCCCTCATCAACATTTAGGGTTAGGGTTCTACTCCTCCAGAATCGTGCAGCTCTCTTCTTTCATGCTGAAACCTCCCTCCTCCTCCGCCGCAATTGTTGACCATCACAATCATCGTCTTCAACACCGTTCGGTTTCTTCTTCTAGTCCTCAGTCCAAGTCCCCAGGCGACATTCCTATTCTCCCTGATTCTTTCAGGTTCCTTTTTCTCTTCTTTCGAAAGAAGAAATAAATTGTTTTAGTTCTCAGTTCAAAATTTTAGGTATTTGCTTCAATTTGTTCAACTTTCAATCAAATTTAATCAAATGAGCGTTAGAAATGGTTCAAAATTGAAATTGTCCTCTGTTTTTTGTATTAATTGTAATCCCTGTATATTGGCTTGTTTATAACATGTTTGTTCAAGCATCTGATTAATTTTCTTTTCTGTAAAGCCAACGAGAAGACGATCATGAGCACCCTTCTGAAGCATTGTCCTCAGTGGCAGGTTTCTTTTTCCTTTTCTTCTACTTTTCTTCTATGTTACCATAATTTGTATTTTTGTGTGTTAGTGTTTTTATTTTATTGGTCCGCATCATTCCACCAGGAGGGATAGTTGCATTGGGAAAGTTTGACGCCCTTCACATTGGTCATCGAGAACTTGCAATTCAAGCATCAAAGGTTGGAGCTCCATATCTTTTGTCATTTGTAGGATTGGCAGAAGTCCTTGGTTGGGAGCCTAGGTAAAGTCGTCTACCATTTTCCTTTTGATGCTTTTTTTTTCCCCTAAAAAAATAGGCTTTTGGTTGCTTCCAACAGCTGGTTTTCACATCTGATGCGAATGGTTTTCAACAGGGCTCCCATAGTTGCCATATGTGATCGTAAACGTATTCTCTCCTCTTGGGCACCATATTGTGGTAATGTAACCCCCAGGGAATTCGAGGTACAATTTTCAAGTGTTAGACATCTTACACCAAGGCAGTTTGTGGAGAAGCTGGCGACGGAGCTTCAAGTATGTGGAGTTGTGGCAGGTAAACTAAAAGCTGTATCAACTGTTAGGGTTTTATTTGTCTCAAAATAGATTAATCCAGAAAATATTGAAATTGTTTGTCTCTATGGCTAATTGATCAGGTGAAAACTATCGGTTTGGTTATAAAGCTGCTGGTGACGCTTCAGAACTGGTGAGGCTGTGTAATGAATTTGGTATAGGTGCTTACATAATAAATTCTGTCATGGACAGGCACCAAGATTCCCGAAATATAGACCGTTGTGACTTGAAAGAGAGAGGACAAGTCTCATCTACCCGTGTTCGACATGCTTTAGCTGAGGGTGATATGAAATATGTGTCAGAGCTTCTAGGCCGCCGGCATCGTCTGTTTTTGGCGGTGAAAGACTGGGAAGGCTATACTGGTACTAGCAGTAAACGTAGGGTGTCAGCTCCAAAGTCTTCTTTGCTAAATCTACCGCCTAAGGATGGTTTTTATGAGAACTGTTCTCTTGTATTTGGGGAACAAAATGTAGTTACATGTAGCGTATCTATTGATACGACTCATATCCATCTAGTAGTAGATCAGGTAGATTTTTGTGATTATGATTACTCTCAAACTCAGGTCTTGGGTATTGAATTTGGTGAATTAAGAGTTAATTGTGTTTAGCATATTTGTCATCTTTTTTTTTTTCTTTTTGAATTTCATCTCAGCAAAATATTTCATGGGTGAGAAGTATAATCCATGTTTTAAAGGAGTTTGTATATATATATCCTTCATATGGGAGGTGCCTGTATTTATTCATCAATTAAATTATATTTGTATAATGCACGTGAATATAGAATGCCTGTTCCATTCTTTAAGTTGGAAATGAATTATATTTTCCTGTGCCTAGAACTGTTCTTTTATTTCAACCTATGGATTAGATAGCTTGCTCAAAAATGTTTCTGAATGAGTTGGGCTGGCTTGAAGGGTTTTTGTTTTCAGTGTCTATGCACTGTAGCTGAACTTTATTGCTTATATTTTCTCCCTCTTGATTCATCAACATGCTTTCTGTGGATTGATGGTTTGTCTGGTCTTGTGGTTTTCTTTCACCGTCATAGGCGTGAATATAAATTTGCAGATAAATTTGCATAGATATATAAGCTGTGGTTACTTGTCACCTTGAGAACTAAAGCATCTCTTATGACTTTTGCCAAATTAGGGTTTAGATCCATGTTTTTCTTGAGATATGACAGATACTGCATTTATTTTTGAGGCTGAATCTTAAATGAATATTATTTGGAGAGAGGACTGTGTTATATGGCAGTTCATTTCCTGTTGAAGGTACTAGATGACTGATAAGGTGAGAGGATATAATTTATTTACGTATCGGTCATTGGCCTCAAAAGTAGTATTTGGGATTCATCCTGTCACGTCTGTTGTATCACTTTGAGTTTGGTTACTTGGTTTGTTACTCGGCATTACAATATTTGAAGCTAAATTCACAATTTATGTTGATCTGTTCTGTTTTTTCAGTTGTTTTGCAGTGTAGGACAATTTTGTAGTAATACAGTTGGTAGTTAAGTTGTGCTGTACATTTGTTATTTATTTGTTTATCCATGTTGCAGATGTTGGAAACATTGACAGCATGGAGTTGTTTCAAGTTCATAACTATGAAGAAGGCATAGCTGATGACACTGCTGAAGTGATTTTGTCTTTTCATTTGAAACGAAAGGAAAAATCTAAAGTGATTTTGATGATCAAGGAGGTAATTAGGTAGCTAAAGATTGTAGATGAGCTCCATGTCTTGTTATAACTTAGGAAATATTTTCTAACCCAGCCTCCTATGCCAAATTAATAGTTTGTTTAGATGGCGATGGAATTGGTTTTTAGGGGCGACCTGTCATTTTTTTTATTCTTTTCTTAAGTAATTGATAGGGTGGGCAGTACTAACTTAACCCTCGAAGTAGGCTCCAAAGATTGCCACTAGTGAAAAATATTCTAGACGTATTGCCTAGTTTGACATTGCTGCTATGAAAAGCTCGGTTGGCAAAATCACCTTTCTATGTGCTTCTGCAGTTGGGGGAAATATCAGGGTCCAAAAAAGTGCTTCCGAACCCAAAAATTAGTTGATAATTGGCATCGTGTTCACTGTCAAAAGTTGCTTTTTGGCAGCCAAGGACAATGTCAAACTGACCAAGAATTGATAGCCTTATATATTGCAGGTGAGTGGCGACTGCTATGGTGGGGCTTGGTCTGAGTTGAGAGTTGCGATCACACATGATTTTGGTGTCGGAAAGAAATATTTGAACTGTTTCTCTGTGTAAACTCTTGTTTCTGTGCAGTATTTCAGTTTGTTATATTTTGAACAGCTTTTGCCTGAGGCCCTTTGATAGCCACGGAAGGTGGAGACTAGGAATTTGAGTCGTGCAAACAAGTGCAGGAGAAGAATGAAATGCCTTAGAAAGCATATGGATTTCAATTGGATACATCTTGGCAGAGCAGCCAAATGACTCACCGATAAGATACAAACCAGAATTTGGACAAATGTCATCAATGAAACGGTATGGCATCCACGATGTAAAGCCAAACCTTTTGGAAGGACAGAATACTTGGGGAGATTATCTCTTTAGGATATCCTCCAAACGAATCCACCTTATAAATCTAGAAGACAAGAACCTTGCCTTTGGTATCATTTTTTTTCCCTTTAAACGCAAAATTTGGGAGAATTTTTCTTTGAGACAAAATGTAGTGGCCATCCCCGATTCCTTTTAGTAGGATATAACTTAAGGGATTGATCAAATGCTAAAGAAAAATGGTATAAGATTCAGTTGTTGCTTTATTAGGAGAAAATAATTGAATTTTTTTTTATAAAGTTACAATTATAATTAAATGTTACATCTCCTATAAATTAAATCCAACCAGAATTGAGGAATTAATATGTATGTGGTAAATAAATTTAATAATTAGCGTGAAGTAGAGGCAACTCAAAGAAAAGCCACAAAAAGCAACTCCTAATTTTTGTTTCTTTGTTTATTACATAATTTTACCTGTTTGTTTAGTAGTAGTACTTGTAGCAGAAGCAGGAAGCAAATATAGCTATTAGAAGTTCAAGAGAGGGCAAACTGAAGGTTGAAAAAACCAATATCAAATCATATATATTTATTTATATTTATAGCCATACAGCAAGCGAGAGAGACAGAGAGAGAGGCGCTCATTATTTCCGTCACGGAAGGGAAAGAAGCGAAAGCCACACCGCCTTCTTTGATTCAATAAAAGAGGGGCTCTTTTCGGTCTTCCATTTTCTTCCTATTAAAACAAGAAGAAACCCAAACCGCTTTCACATTAACCTTCAACCCAGTCAGGACTCAGGTGACTGCTTTTTTCTGTTTCTCTTTCTCGATTCTTGTTTATCTTAATGACATTATCAACTCAATCCGAATCTATATATTTTTTATGGCCTGCATTCCTCTCTTATTTTTTGCTCCTCGTTTTTATGAATTGGGATTGCGTTTTGCCTTCCGTTGTTGATTTCGATCATCCCCAATCCAATCTTTCGTTGGTTTAGGATTCTGTCGATTCATATTCAATTGATTTTTTTTTCTCGATTTGTTTGCCGAAATTAAGAGGATTTCATTTTATTTTTGGTTCTATGTAAAATTGCCCCCGCCAATACGGTTTTCGTTTTGTTTGAAACTGAGCTGTTCTACCCGTGTCGTGGTCGAGTTGGCTCGCTTCCGACCCCTCACATGTCGTGGTCACAACAGTCATTTTGCTTTGCGGTCTTCCCTTCTTCTTGTAAGCTGTAATTCTGCCCGCCTCACGTAACATCCAATGATCCACCATTCTTGGTTTAGCGCAGCCACGTTAAGCATATGTCGAAGTTATCTTTCCTATATTACGCCCACCCTTGAATTTCTTTCCCTTTCTATCCTTTCTAGAGAAAGAGGGAATTGCGCCGCGTCAACCTTCTGGTCTCTTTGATAAACCCAAGGACCCATTCCCAACTCTATTGGGTCACAAAAATGAGTTCACAGGGCAAAACCGTCATTTGTCATATCCTCATGTTCTCCTAAATCTTCGGACTGGTTGGTTAGCTGTCAATCCCTGTCATGTTCTTGAAGCAGGAGGCGATGACAAGGAACACGTGGCATTTTGTTATTAGATATCTTTTAAAACTGCAGGCTGAGTTTGCACTCACCTTAAGCACGCGCTGTCTTAATTAATTTTCCTATTTTAGTTTAATTTTAATTACTTAACGATTTAATTTGTGGCTGTGTTTTGTTGACTGAATATTGTTCTTGCAGTTTTGCCGTGTACTCGGTACCAGCAAAGGAAGGTTCTTGGTCGGTGGAGTTGTCTATATAGCAATTGATCGGGCTGTCAAAAGTTAGACATTGACAGCCCGATTCTTTTCAACTCTTTTTTATTTACAAGGTAAGACTAGGAATATACAGCTGCAGCAATAGAATATGCCAACTTTGGCTTGCTTATTGGCTTGACATGTTTTGCTTGTTTCTCCCGTGTTGTATTTCTTAAGTTAATTCCATTAGTTGGGTCATAATCGGATTCTCCTATTTTATGCAGGTGATTCTTGTTTTTAAATTTTCTTTTGGCTTTCTGGGTGTTGACCAGGTTGAGCTTCTTTGACTTTTGGGTTGGGTTGTTATGTTTATTTGAGGCCTGCTTCATTTTGGTATGGTAGTTTCTGTTCCGGATGTTCAACATGGGTTCCTTGTCTGGAATCATTCAACGTCCTCTAGTTGCAGCTGCTGCTGTTGCCGTTGCTTCTGTTTCTGTTGATTTTTCTGTTAAACTTCCATCTCATTCATCGGATACTTGTTCGACCTCTGAACAAATTGAAACTTGGTCTAATTTGTTACGAGAGTCCAAGTCCTCATTGGTAGATCATATATCAGCTTCCAAGCTTGCAAACCTGTCTTTTGTTACCAGAATTCGGGTACCTGTACCTAGTGTTAACTTTCCAGTTCCCAATTCAGGCTGGAATTTTACTCCCAATGCGCAATGTTCTTCTGTTGCTTCATCTCCCCTACTGGTTAATTTATATCAGTCAGCAGAGTTAGCAAAGGCATCAAAGCCCGCTGCATTCACACAGAGTATCCCTACCTCGGCCCCTGATGTTTTGTACCGATGGCATTTGCCGGAGCCTAGCGCAATTGATGTTTCTGGGACTTCTGATTGTTCATCAGCAAAGTCTCGTACAGTTGTTGTTTTGTTAGGGTGGTTGGGATCTAAGCAGAAACATCTTAAGAGATATGCAGAGTGGTATACCTCCAGGGGATATCATGCCATTACATTTACCGTTCCAATGATTGATATTATCAGTTACCAAGTCGGTGGGAAAGCTGAGCAGAACGTAGACATGCTTGTTAATCACTTGGCTGATTGGTTGGAAGAGGAGCATGGGAAAAACCTGGTTTTTCACACTTTTAGCAATACTGGATGGTTAACGTGAGTCCTCTCTCTTAGTCTCCGACACACAATTGCAAGCACAGATACAACTGCATTTGTTCTTTCTATTGTTTACACTAATTATCTGAATTGATTTTCTGGTCGAAATCCATCTTGTTGCAGATATGGCGCTATTCTTGAGAAGTTTCAGAAGCAAGATTCTTCCCTAATGGGAAGGATCAGAGGTTGCATTGTGGATTCAGCCCCTGTTGCAGCCCCTGACCCACAGGTAAATGATGCTTGAAGGTGTTTCACATATGTAATCCACTTGATTGACAAACACGTTATCTTAACCAAGGAAGAGCAGACATATTTTAGCACTATCTCTTTATGTTGCAACTTGTCAATTCTATTAATAATCAATTCTACTTTTATGAATAAAATGGTAGTTATAATTACCAGCTCGTAACTAAATTACTGAATTTAGTTGAAAAGGGAAATTTATTTAAAATATGGCAATGCAAAATAAGTTATGATTTTCAATCAAATCTTTGCATATACGTTGATAATAAGTTGAAAGTTTCCCTTTATCATTCTCTTCATTAGGAGGGCTGTGGTGTATTGCTAGATATATGGACATTGTAAAATCTCTCTTTTCTGGGAGCTTCTTGCTGATTCATTATCCTTGGAGCATGACTTAGTTACTTCTGCTTCTTGGTTCTCTGCCTTCTGTCTTTGTTGGTGATGGCCTTGTACTCTGATGCCCTAGGTGTTCTGGGATCACTTATCTACCATGATGTCATTGCTAGTTCTCATAAAAATCCTCAAAAAGGGGTATTATGACTGATTCATCTTGATACAGAACATTTTTTGAATGTGCAAAATTGTCAAGATTGGCATTTGCTACAATTACGCACTCTATATATATTTATCCTTTCAAAGCTTTTAGATTTCAGCTGTCTTTTGCTTTAAATGTTCGTGTTTCAGATCAGTAAAACTGGAAATGCTTATTTAAATTTTTATTTGAAATTTTCAGGTCTGGGCTTCAGGTTTCTCTGCTGCTTTTCTGAAGAAACATAGTTTTGCAACAAAAGGATTTGCAAGCTCAAGCGAATCAGATGTGGGGCCGTTAGTTGGCAAAAGGGGAGTCTCAGAACCTAAGCCTGCAGTAACTGAAGCTGCTTTACTAATGGTCCTGGAGAAGTTCTTTGAGGTGGTTTTGAATCTTCCTGCTGTTAGCAGGTAATGTTGATACCCTCTCTTCCTCAGGCTTATGCTTTAGGGCATTCTCTTAGTGCTTATCCTACTGGAAGTCATCCCTATATTCATTATATTGCAAGTGTTGACACCTTTAAAACTGACACAAGTTGCATATTATATATTCCTGCAGGAGGCTTTCTGATGTACTAGGCTTATTGTCATCTGGACAACCTACCTGCCCTCAGTTATATATTTATAGCTCTGCAGATAGAGTCATCCCTGCTGATTATGTGGAATCATTTATAGAGAAGCAAAGGAGGTCTGGGCGTGTGGTTCGGGCATGCAACTTTGTCTCCACACCACATGTTGATCACTTTAGGAATGACCCAAAACTGTATACAAGTCAGCTCAGCCAGTTTTTGGAGGACTGCGTGCTTACTTGTTGTAAACATTCTTGATTAAGTACATTGAAGCACTGCTTTTCAAAAAAAAAAAAAAGTACATTGAAGCACTGGCCGTATCCAAATTCTTTTACCAAATAACGAAAGATATTAAATTTTGTCAATCATGTTTTCATCTAAAAAAAACTTGTTTATTAAATGAAAAAAAAAATATTTATAAATTCAAAACCCATTTTATCTCTAGTTGATTTGAAGTGAATGATACCATGTACATGTCGACCTCTTCATTTCATTTTGTCATCGTTCTTGTATAAATAAACTTTTTTTTTTTGCCCCAATTGTACTTATATGTAAAATTGTGAAGGCCTGAGAATGAAATGAATATTTTATTGTCACATATGGTTTGGTTTTTTAATGCAACAAGGATTTGAGAAATGGTGATTTTGATTATTATTTTTTAAAGAATTATTATACCCCAGAGTGCTTATCAATTAATTAATCTCCATAATTATTATAAGTGCGGCCAAGTCGGAGCCGAGCTGTTATGATGACATCTGACCAAGGGAAAGTGCAAAAAAGGTCCGACCCTAGGTGCCATTGCAAACCAATCCCACCCCGTTTGTTAAGGGTAAAATTGTATTTTTATTTCCTTCTTAGAAAAGTAGCAGATAACACATGAATGCGTTAAGAACAGTTGACTTGGGAAGAAAGGGGGTTCAAGGGGAACGGAGTATCCCAAGCATACTTAAAACTGAGGTTACTAGAAGGAGCCACTGGCTGGCCATTGTTAATGAGGCATTCTCCTCCTGTTTGGGTCATAACTGAAGAATCCACCTCTTCCACCGTCTGAAATCCATTGCAACTCAGCTTCAACTCAGACTGGGTGCAGGCGCAATTGTTAGAGATGGTCACTTGCCATTCTGGCTTGTTTTGCACCGTTGTTCCTGTTTTGGTTTGGCTGACGGAAATATTGCCAAGAGAGCATTGGCAATATCCTTGAATAACAACACGTACACCCACAATTAACAGAGCAATTAATGATACAAGCCCGACGATCTAAAAGACTGCAATTGGCATTAATGTTAAACAATGTAATTGAGCATCCATAGCATTACCTTGGCCAACGAGAGAGAGGAAAACAAGTGCACACACACAGTTGAGAATGGTTGCCATTGTAGACTAATGTAATCCCGAGCTTTACTACTATTTTATTTTGCTTCTCACTAGTACTGTACCCCTAGTATTTATAGGCTAAAGCAAGTGAACAAGCATGGTAAGAATTAAGACAGAGGAGAAATGCATTGACCAGTTGGCAGTCAAAGGCATTAGTATTTTTAGGCATTAAAATAGCAAGCAATTAAAATCTGGGATTTGAATTCCTTTTAAAATGCCTAGGAATTAGCAACAAAAATAGCGTGAATTTATGATCAGAAGATTTGGTTGTCCCCTGAAAGGATCAAACCCCCTGTTTGTTTTTCCCTCTTCAATCAAAGCCTCTTGTGTTTGTTAGTTGAATCAATCATATTATGAAACCAAAATCAGTGCATAAAATAACCCCAATTCTTGTTTAATCACCAACAATGCTCATTAGCGGTTTCGGTCTGCCAATATGTGTTGATATCATCCAAGAAGGGTAACTCCTTAACGCCGAAAAAGTCCTACAAGCCGTGCAACCACATATCATATAATCCAAACAACAAGGACAGTTCCGTAATTCCAACTCCCTTAACCTTTGCTTTGCCCCTCCTTATTTTTCCACCTCTGTCAACTTACCTTTCCCATTTCCATCGCAGGGATAAAGAGATTAGGGTTATTATTATTATTATTATTATTATTCAACCCTAATCGCAAAATCCTCCCCTTCTAATTAAATTTGTTCAAATCCATTCCTATCAATGGCTGCTGTTGTTGTGTCACCTCCATTTTGCATAAACGAGACATTAAGGGATTCATAAAATAAATAAAAATAAAATAAAATAATTATTATGTAAAAATAAAATAAAGTGATAATAAAATGAAACAGTTATTAGTTACGACAAATGGAATAGAATAGAAATAATTATTATAACTTATTACAGTATTTGATCAGTAACAAGAATAAAAAATAAAAAAATAAAAAAACTTTTTATTATATATATGATTATTTATTTTTATTTTATTTTTAAATATTAATAATTTATAATTTAATTAAACAATTAATAATTAATAATTTAAATATTAATATTTTAAATACTAGTAATTTATTATAATGTAATAATTAATATTTTAAATACTAATATTTTATTTATAATTTAATATTATTATGATTAAAATATTAATAATTTTAATTAATTTTCTAATTTAAAATATTAATTTTTATAATATGTAAGTAAAAACTAAAACTTTTTATTATAATAATATTTATTTTTTAAAACAACAAAAACACCCTTTATATAATTTAGTAAAATTTATACCAAAAGACAAATAAAAGAAAAATTTTTCTTTTTTAATTATTTAATTTTTATTTCATTAATATTTTAAAATTTTAAATTTTAATAGCTTAATACTAAAATATAAGTATAATTTTTTATTTTTTCTCTATTTGCATTTTTTATTTATTCTTTTATTAAATATTTAATATATTAATAATTTATTAAGATAAACATTAATATTTTAAAATATTTATATTTTATTTATAATTTAAACATTATTATGATTTAAATATTAATATTTTATAATTTATAAATATATTTTAACTTTTTTATTTAAAATTTTTTCCCCTTTTCCTTTCTTCTTCTCCCTGGTCTAACTACACGAAATGTAGCCTTTATTTAAAATGCTAATCTGGCATAAGATGTGGTTGGATTTGGCCACTAGGGAGCCAAATTGACTCTTCTCACGATCATATCTGACCGTGGATCCCAGATTCGGTGACTCATTGATTGAATCTTTTCAAAAAAGACTAAATCTATGTCTAGAATTATAATATTTTATAATTATAAGGATATTTTAATCTTATCAAATTTAAAAACTATTTCTTCAACCATGCAATAACAAAAACCATGAGGGGTTTGGACGTAATTAAGTTTGAGCTTTAACTATTTCTAAATGTTAAAGAAGAGTGAAATAAATGTTAAGATTTAAATTAAAAAGAAGATTGTAATAAATATTAAGTTTAAGAATTAAAATTAAAAAGTTTGGATTTTGGATTTATAGTTGTTGAGGGAATGAGAGGAAGAGATTGACTAAGAGAGAATTGGAGGGTGGAAAAAAGTATTTATTTTTTTAAAAGAAAATTAAAAATATTTATTTTTAAAAGTTTTAAAATTTAAAATTTATTTTTGAATGAAATGATATCATATAAAAATTATTCACTAGCCAATATAAATTCTTAATTAACATCATTAATCTTTATAATGAAATTGTTTTAAGTAGTTTTAAATGCATCTCAAGATATAACCATGGGTCAAGTGGCATCCCAGTTGCTGTGACGACATCTGGCCAATGAAAAGTCAAAAAACACCCGAACCAAGGTGTCGTGCCAAACCAATCCCATCGTATTTTCATCTTTAAGTTAAGGGTAAAGTTGTATTTTGGTTTCCTTGTTAGAAAAGATAAATATATGAAAAGAAATAAAAAGACATAAAATAGGTTTGCTATAAGTGATCATTTTATTAGCAGATACCCACGTGGATGTGGTGTAAGAAACCATTGTTGAAGTTTGGAAACAGTCCTTTAAGAACAGTTGACTGGGGACGAAAGGGGGTTCAAGGGAAACGAAGTATCCCAAGCATACTTGAAACTGGGGTTGCTGTAGGGAGCCACCTGCTGGCCATTGTTAACGAGGCATTCTCCTCCTGCTTGGGTCATAACAGAAGAATCCACCTTTTCCGCCGTCTGAAATCCATCGCAACTCAGCTTCAACTCAGGCTGGGAGCACGAACAATAATTAGAGATGGTCACTTGCCGTTCTGGCTTGTTTCGCACCGTTGTTCCTGTTTTAGTTTAGCTGACGAGAATGTTGGCTAGAGTGCACTGGCAACATCCTTGAATAGCACATCCACAATTAATAGAGCAATTACAACATGAAATGATGCAAGGAAATGAAGAAGGCCAGAAAATAAAAACACTATAGATTGGGCAAATCTAAATGACTGCAATTGGCATTAATGTGAAATCATGTAATTGAACATCCATAGCATTGCCGTGGCGAATGAGAGAGGGGAAAACAAGTGCAAACAGAGACTTGAGAATGGCCGCCATTGTAGACGAACGTGACCCCAAGCTCTACTACTATTTGCTTTTGCTTCTCACTTAGTACTAGCATTTATAGGTTAAAGTAAGTGAACAAGTAAGGCAAGAATTAAGACAGAGTGGAGATATGAATTGCCCAGTTGGCAGTCCAAAGCATTAGTATTTTTAAGCATTAAAAACGCAAGTAATTAAAATCATGGATTTGAATTCCCTTTAAAATGCCTAGGAATTAGCAATAAAAATAGCATAAATTTATGATCAGAAAATTTAGTTGTTCTCAAAAAGGATAAAAACCTACCCTCTTTTATTTTCAAAAAAAAAAAAAGAACCCCACCCTCTTTGTCCATCGTTTGAAAATATTTTCCCTCCTCAAAGACTGTTAACATTTCAGCCTCAACCTCTTGTGTATATGTTAAGATCAATCCTATTATTATAAAACCCAAATCATTATATAAAATGATCCCAATTCTTGTTTAATCACCAACAATGATCGGTAGGCACCTAAGCTTTTGGGTCGCATTCACTCCCGATGTATGTTGATAATCATCGGGAGAAAAATGATTCCTTAACTGACAATTTTAACTTTACTCTCAAAAAGTCCAACAAGCCCTGCGACCAAACATCGCATAATCCAAACTATAAGGACGGTTCCGTAATTCCAACACCATAACCTTTGCTTTGCCCTACTTGTTTTTCTCACTCCGTCAACCTACGATTTCCCATTTCCATCATTGGGAGAAAGAGATTAGGTTTTGTTTTTAGTTATTATTCAACCCTAATCCAAAACCCTCCCCTCCTAATTAAATTTGTTCAATTCCATTCCTATCAATGGCTGCTGCTTTTGCGTCGCCTTCAGTTTGCATAAACGAGACATTAACAGACGACGAGCTGAGATCGATACTGACAAGGCTGGAAAGTGATAAGGACAAGGAAGTGTTCGGTCTGGTCTGCCAGAGATGGCTGCATCTGCAGAGTACCGAGAGGAAGAAGCTCTGCGCACGTGCGGGACCGACTGCTCAGCAGGATGGCCGCCAGGTTAACACTGTGTGCTTGAGTTGACCTCTCTCAGTCGATTTCCAGGTCTTTTTACCTGGCGTTACCGACGCTGATCTTGCCGTTATTGCTGAAGGGTTCAAGTGCTTAAAAGTGCTCCATTTGCAGCATTGTAAAGGTAAATTGTTTGCCTTTCGTTTTATTTTGATTGTAAATGTTTTTTTTTGGGGGGGGGGGGGGGGTGAGGGAGTTTTCATTTTCATTTTTATGTACCCAATTTGCAGAATTGTAAGATGCTGCTTTACTTCTGTTATGATAGGTATTTCTCTGTTTTGAGTCTTTGGATATTGTGTGGAAATTGCTTGTGTATACTTTTGCCGTTTAGCTTATCCTGATTATAATTCTGAACCGGGGTAATTTGCTTGCCTTCTTTGTTTATAAAAGCTGTTACGGATAGAGGATTGGCATCGATTGGTGCTGGTCTTTCTTCCCTACAGTCCTTGGATGTATCATATTGCAGAAAGTAACGGACAAGGGATTTTAGCTGTCGCTGAGGGCTGTCATGACCTGAGAAGCCTTCATCTTGCTGGCTGCAGATTTGTCACTGACGGATTGTTACTAACTCTTTCTAGGAATTGTAACAATCTAGTAGAATTGGGCTTGCAGGGATGCACCAAAATCACTGACTCTGGACTGGCGGATCTTGTAAATGGTTGTCATCATATTAGATTTTTAGACCTCAATAAGTGCAGCAATGTAGGGGACATAGGGATTTCCAAGGTTGCCGAGGCTTGTTCATCTTCTCTGAAGACACTCAAGTTGTTGGACTGTTACAAAGTTGGAGATGAGTCAATATTCATCTTAGCCAAATTTTGCAAAAATCTTGAAACTCTTATAATTGGTGGTTGTCGTGACATCTCTAATGTGTCTGTAAAGTCATTAGTTTCTGCATGTAAAAATAGTCTGAAGAATTTGCGGATGGATTGGTGTCTAAACATTTCTGACTCTTCATTGAGCTGCATCCTTACTCAATGCAAAAACTTAGAGGCACTTGATATTGGATGCTGTGAGGAGGTGACAGATGCTGCTTTTCAGGATTTGAGGAATGACAAAACCGAGTTTAGGTTGAAGGTTTTGAAGGTCAGCAACTGTCCAAAGATTACAGTTTTAGGAATAGGTATGCTTTTGAATCAGTGCCCTTCTTTGGAATATCTTGACGTTCGGTCCTGCCCTCATGTAACCAAGGCAGGCTGTGATGAAGCTGGATTAACGTTCCCTGAATGTTGTAACGTGAATTTCACAGGAAGTTTAAGTGAGCCGGATGTCCTAGTTTAACCTACTTATCTGATTCACGGAAGATACTGCACCAACATTTCATAGCAGTTGACCATGTTTCAAAGCTCATGGGTGTACTATAGCAGGTGAGGGCTTTTCAGCAAATTCTTTCCGGTTCTTTGACACGTTATGCATAGAGCTTGGGGGTGGAGTGAGATTTGGTGGTTTTATTTGTTTATTTCTCAGATTTATATGTATATTTTGCATGTATATTACTTTTTCCATGTCTTCCGTGGAATATTTCTGTAATTTGTTGGTAGGTCTCTTCATTTATCTGTATCTTGTCATGACAATAAGATTCTGTACCAGATTTTCTCTAGTTGGTATGTTCTATTCCCCTCATTTATGTAGGACTCGAGAAATAAATGAAGCAGTGGATTATTAACTTTAGACAAGTAGGAGCCCATATTCCAATCCATTCATATCAACGAAATTTCGAATACCATTTTACTAAATTTAGAGGTTGCGCAAACTGACATGTTTCACCTTTCGGCAGTAATTATCTGGTACAAGATGTTGCTTGAGTCTTCTTTCTAGGGAGATAGAGCTTTTACGGGTTTGTCTATGGATGCTTCTGTTATGCTCGATTAATTTGTGGCCACAAGTACTGGAGTTTATAAGATGGCGTGGCCAACAACTTCCACGTGAAATAATTTAGGTGTTGATTCTCTGGAGTTAAAATGCTTGATGCGAGCAAAGGAGGTTGGTTATGTCTTTTGATTTCTTAGCTAAAATATTAGGTTCTTTCCCCCTTTGCTTGTTCTACGAGAACATCCATTATAAAGATAATTTAGTTTCTTCTGTTGTGGACCTCTTGGCGCGTGCCTTGTCTAGACTAGCAACCTTATTGATTAGGGTAAAAATTAAAAAAGCTGTGAATAGCCTTGCTCGATCAAGCAAGCAGGTGTGCGAAGTTGCACGTATTTATTACACCAACCGCTGATGGTGGTAAGGGACCAGAAAATCCAATGATAGCTTCAGGGAAAAGGCAAGTGTGTTGCTGAGTTCCATCCATGTTAACCACTAGTATTCACAATTCAGAATTTAGATATGATTTTAGAAGTATGAAAGCCGTACTTTTTCGAACTCCCTCGCTTTAGAGATATCTTTTGCATACTACCATCAACAACAATGCGGTTGCGTTTGCAAGCTATGATACATCGACATTGTAGAGGGGTTCTTGTGTCAAGGCGAGAGGAAGTCTTGTAAATAAATAAGAGGTTGTGCTGATAACAGCAGGGAAAGGAAGATTAGGGCCGTCCTTGAAATATTGAGTGCTGTGCAAAGGGATAGGCGAACAGTAGAGTGAGGCTGAAAATAGGACGGAGAAGGACTAAGTAAAAGAGGATTGCCAGGAGTGAAAGTGTGTCTACATTAGTTCAAGAAATCTTCTCCTCCAAAATAAATTGTCAAAGCTCCATATCTAAAATCAGAAAAAATAATTATTCAACAATAAATTTTAATGTATATAACGAGTAACATTATTGATAAAAGTTTTCATTACATAATAGTAACATTTATTGAAATTCATTATATGAATATTAAAATAGTGATTTTATTATATATAATGAGTAATTAGACACTCATTTCATTGAAGTAATGAATTATATATTTAAATCTATAGATGATATCTAAACTAGAATTTTGATAACTATCTTAATAGAAGGAAGTTTTCTTTGATATTTAATTTCTTTTAAACTCTACAAAAAATGGGTCAAGTTTAGGATTAAGCTTTGTGAACTCTTGTAAAGGCATGGTTTGCTTACGTGGTGATTATAGTCATATCACCATAATCTATATCCTCAATCCGCAAACAGGGGAGCATGCTAGTCTTCCCAAGTTGTCCTGACGGGATGATACAGGCCTTTTGCGCCCCATGGGTTTAGCCCAGACCAACAGATACAAGGTCCCCAGATTACTTGCAAGTAGCAGTGTGCACTTGCCACCGGCACCTAGAGTAAAATTAAGGTTTATTTTGCAAGTAAAAAAGTAAATAATAAAAGCCTAAATCAAAGAAACCTAAGATAGTGGGAGGTTATAGTATAGCTGATCTACTCTTTGATCCATTTTGTTGATCATTCAAATCTATCAATGGATCGCTAAGTTGCATAATCTGGGTTGGGAAGAAGTAGGCTGTTTTCACCTTGACTGTGGGAGATTCAAAAGAATGCCATCAATTCATCCACACGGTTTTTACGCCTTGGGGCTTACGGAATCCAATACCTTGTCTACAATAACCATTGTAAGAGAAGACAACCTAAAAGATCTGTGGATGTGGATATGTGAATTCGAGGAAAGGACTTCGTGTTTTTATAGTCCTACCAAGAGGGATAATGGCTAGGAGTTTTGTCTTAAGGTTATAAGATTAAATCAGAATTTGAGTCAGTTGTTATGTCATGCTCCGAGTATCTATGTGTATGGATGACTTATATGCACAGCATACAATACACAAGCTCCTAAAATATGAGAGCTAGATTTTCTTTCTTAATTTCTACATGTAATGTTGCCACGATCTGTTTCTGATCGGAAGAATCTACTATTGGATTGTAATCAATGACGTAGATTGCAGAATTAAGAGCATTCATATATTCATTAAAAAGAAAACAAAAACTTTGTACATTTGCAGAAGTGGATGATGGGTTTTCCCTCAATTCATCAACAAAACAATCTGATGAATTGCTGCAGATCAGGAGAAACATTTCTAAGCTAAGCCACCTAGAAAGTGACTTGCACATCATCTAGTCTTTGGGAGATTGCCTGCTGAAGATATTTGAAAGCTTTCTGATAATTCAAGAAGCCCATAAACCAGAAGTCAAAACCATCTACCGTGACCATTTCTATGTACTTTTGCGATGGTTTCTTCATGTTTTCACTTTGATTAACTCCCTTTATTTTCTCAAGTGGAATCAAAACCTGCATGAAATCAATTGATAGAGCATAAGATGCCATGACACGGAATGAGGGCCTTCAACTTATACACACAGAGAAGGCAAGAGAGAAATATATACCTTGTAATGGACTCTGAGCAACTCTCCATTGGAAGAAGGGATTTTGATTGATCTCTCACTGCAAAAGGCAACCTTCTCGGAAGAGACGAAAAGGAGGCCGGCGATAGGGCCTGCTGTGGTTGATAAATAGCATTGACAAGCCTTCAACAGTTTCTCTCCTTCTCTGACACTAAACAATCGTTTGAAAATCTTCTCCACACCTCCTACTTGAAGAATCCTTGCCCCCAAACTCAACTTTCCTTTCACAGTTTCAGTGATCTTTGGCCCCAGTCTCACTGCAGTTTCAAAAGTAACAAAAACGACTTCAGTTGAAACATTACATATGTTTAGATATTTAGACTAGTTATTTGGCTGCTGAGGAATGAATAGCTAAAGAGTAAGAGTGTCTCGTACCATGCTCTCGGACTCCATGTGCAAATGTATCAGCCTTCTTTCCTAGCGTATTCATCCTTTTAAGTACAAAATTTCCTTTGCCTGCAAATTAATTCCCATTAGTACTGAAACATCTCCCTTAGGAATCTCTAGACATCATCACATAGTTGTCAGGAGAAGTTAAAAGGGAGACCTACCTTTTCTAAATGTGGTAGACCCTTCTGCAGAAGATGAAATGCGGTATTGGCCGGCAGCATCAGGTAAGTATCGCCTTGGCGTTCTCTCAACTCGATATGCCTTTGATGTGATTGGAAGTCCAATAACTTGTTCAAGTAGCTGATTCTTCATTTTCGATGGACGAAATGGAATTCTTTAATTTCCTGACCGAGATACCTCTTGAATGTTTCCTCTTTAGCTTCTAATCGTTCTGTGATGATTGATGAAACCTTGTACTGGGGAAATGGTATATAAAGGGATACAGATGCGGTGGTTGAACCTACTTTTCGTTGCATGAGTCACCCATTGCTCAGCAAATTAAGAAGAATAAAGGCACTCAGCATAGACTTGTAAAAGATAATATTATAAAGAAAAGATGATGAGAAGATTTGGTGCTCTTTAAGAAAAGGTCCAAATTCTTCTTTGTGAAGTCCTCCAACATGGTCCAGCAGGAAATTAGTTGGGTCCAACTCTACACGAAACGAGGCTGCTTCTTGTTGGGCAAGATTGACTTCAACCGAACATATATATCAAACCAAGTTTCCAAAATTTCTTTAAAGGCAGTTAAGAAGGAAAACAAAGCTAAGAAATATTAAGATCAATTTTAATTGGTCTGTAGAAAATGACAATTAATTTATTTAAGATTGCGTGAATAACATCCGTAAATAAGGATCAAACTTCCTTGAAAATTAAAGGAGACGCAAAGTTAGCATTAATTTGGTTTAATTATTATTAATTGTTTTCTAAGCCATGCAGTGAGTAAATCTATGGAAAAAGCAGAGCAGTCCAGGGAAATTAAAAAACAAAGAAATAGCCTGATTAGTAGAGACAAGCTTTTTAAAATGAGAAAAATCCCAACAGACATCATGGATTGCCTCTTTTTCTCTTACACTGACTCTTAGAGGATGTGGCTTTGAAACTTTCTGAGTTGGCATTCGTAGCTTTCTGATGCCTGCCCTACTTTACTGCTAAGGTAAGAAAGAAGGGAAAGGGCAGACACAATTGGGAAACAAATGGGCTACGTCAACCTAACATATTGCATGCAACAAGATAATGATAAGGCAGTGACTTCACCGTCAGTAAACAGTGATGCTGGAGTTCGAGATATGTCATCCCATGTGCGATCAACTGTCGTTACCAACTAGCATCTT